AATAAATAATATATGGATTTGGGTTCATAAATTCTTTCTATCGGGTTCATAAGAAAACATATAAAAAAATAAATAATATATGGATTTGGGTTCATAAATTCTTTCTATCGGGTTCATAAGAAACCCTTAAACAGGTTCATAAATTCTTTCTATCGGGTTCATAAGAAACCCTTAAACATGAGAACAGGTCAAACGGGTTTGGGTATTTATCACTAAATCCAAACCCGATAATAAAAAACAAATCTTAAAAGAAAGTATCATATCGGCCAATTTTTTAAAGCTAAAAAATAGGCCGATATGCCCGATATTACCCTAATATTTCCGATTTAGCCCTGAAAACTGACATACGAGTTGAAAACGTCCATGTCGTGTCGGTCAAGCCCTTAAACTGATATGTCGGCCGACATGTCGGACATGTCGGCCGACATTTAAAACCTTGATTCAAACCAAATTTGTTACATTTGAAAGTGAAATGACTAAAATTTCATAAATTTGTCATAACACTTTAAAATACTAATGAAACTTATCCTGTAGTCCATTTCATTATCTTCGTAGTGGCTAGTGGTTGAAACGATGATGGGAGACAACAACAGTTGGTATGTATAGTTGCTGGTGGTTGGAGGCCCTGATTGGCGGCAACTAGTGGCGGTGGAGAGGAGATTCTTGGAGAGGAGATTCTGTGGGAGTGACTGGTTTTATGGTTTTGAAGCGGCACATTTTTAAGGATTTTGTGAGGCAGCAATCAGGAGACCTTAGAGTAATTAAGTGTAGATGGGGTCAGGCATATTATGCGCACACGTAATTTTATTTTATAGGTTCGTGCTTTTAATTACTCAATTATGCGATTTTATTGCATAAAGTGAACGCATGTCAAGTAGTAAGTATTTAAGCAAGTATTTGATTGGGTAGAGCTTGTTTTGAACACCGTTTTTGACCAAATCACAAAATTGCTGTTATGCATAGAATATATGTATGCATAGAATATATGATGTGTACTCTAAATTTTCTAAAATTTGGTGGACTCAACCAATGATTTTGATTGTTTTTAACCAAATGATAAGTTGCTGCATTGCAAAGAACATTTTATATGTATTCAGAACTTCCTAAAATTCTGTGAGTTATAACCCTATGATTTTGGTCTGTTTTTGATTGAATCACAAATTGTCGTCTTATGTAGAATATTGTGTACTTTAAAATTTTCAATTTATGTGAACTATAACCCATGATTTGACTGTTTCTGACGAAATCGCAAGTTCCATCCAACATACAGCATTTCGTGCGTACGCAAGCTGTTGAATCTCAATGGACTATGATTTTGGTCGTTTTTCGACTTTGTTACAAGTTGGTTATGCTAGTATGAAATTTTTGAATTTATGTGGGTTATAACTTATGATTTTGGTCATTTTTAACCAAATATAAGTTGCGGTCTTATATGGTTTATTTTATGCACACTCCAAAGTTTTTGAATTGTTGTTGACTATAACCCCTGATTGTGGCCATTTTTGACCAAATCACAATTTATCGTCTCGCTTAGAATGTTTTATGCATAATCTAAAATTCTCAAATTTTAGCGAATTATAATCCATGTTTTTGGCTGTTTTTGACCAAATCAGAAATTACCGTCTTATAGAGAATATTTTATGTGGACTCTAAAACTATCGATTTTTCATGGATTGCGTCCTATGATTTTGGCTTTCTTTCGATCAAATTACAGGTTGTCGTCTTACATAAAATATGCTATGCATAGCCAAAATTTTTAAATTTCTGTGGACTATAACTTATAACTATGGTCTTCTTCGAATAAATCAACAATTATTATTTAGCATAGAAAATTTTATCTGTAGTGCAAAATTTCATGGAATTATGTGGACTAACCAGTTACTTTGGGCATTTTTGACCAAATCACAAGTTGCCTTCCTGCATAAAATATTTTTTGCATATTTCAAAACTCTCGATTTTTTGTGGAATATAACCAAATATTCTGGACATCTTAAATTAAATCACAAATTTTCGTATCGCATATAAGATTTTATCCACACTCCGTTTTCCCCATTTTTGTGCACTATAACCAATTAATTTGGTCTTTTTTTACAAAATCACAAGTTTTTGCTGCAGATAGAATATTTTGCGCATACTCCAAAAATCTGGAATTTTGTGGACTATAGCCCATGATTTTGGTTGTTTTCCACCAAATCACAAATAAGTTGTCACACATAAAATATTATGTGTACTTAAAATTTTCCTAATCTCTATGCTTGATAACTTATAATCGTGGTCATTTTCTTTCAAATCACAACTTGCCATCTCACATAGAATATTGTGTACTTCAAATTCTAAATTTATGCAGGTCTATAACTCATGATATTCCTGTTTTGACAAATTCAGAGGTTTTTGTCCTACATAATATTTTCTCTGTGTACTCAAAAGTTTTTAAAATTTTATGTATAATACTTTTGATTTTCGCCGTTTTCAATCAAGTTATAAGTTGTGATGCCGCATAGAATATTCTATGTATATTCCGAAAATTTCGAATTTCAATGGACTATAACCCATGATTTTGTCTGTTTTCGATCAAATCACAAATTGCCATCAAACATAGAATATTTTATGCATACTCCAAAATTCTCAAAAATTTGTAGATTATAACGTTGAATTGTGGTTGTTTTCGACCAAATAACAAATTGCCATCGCACGTAGAAAACCTTATGAGCACTCAAAAAATTTTCAAACTTCTGTAGGGTGTAACTCATGATTTGGTTGAAAATCCGTCTTCGATTAAATCTCAAGTTACCATTTTGCATAAAATATTTTATGCGATCTACAAAATTCCTCAATTCTGTAGACTATAGCCCATGATTTTTGTTGCTTCTGACCAAATCACAAATTGATGTCTCACATTGAGTATTCTACTCGTATTAAAAAAATTCTGAATTTTGGTGGACTATAACCAATGATTGCGTTGATTTCGACGAAATCAACAATTGCCATTTCGCATGAAATATTTTTTGGTACTCTAGAATTTCTGAATCTTCGTGGACTATAACCATTTATTTTGGTCGTTTTCAAGCAAATCACAAGTTTCCATTTTACATAAAATATTTTATGCATTCTCCAAAATTGTCGAATTTTATGAGCTATAACTTATGTATATGACGGTTTTGACCAAATCACAAATTGTCGTTCCACATGAAATATTTTATGCGTACTCCATAATTCTGTATTTGTGGGATATACCCCATGATTTTTGTCGTTATTTACCAAATCGTAAATTATCATCCCACATAGAATATTTTACACACAGAATATTTTACACATACTTCGAAATTCCCGAATTTCTTTTGATATAACCCTTGATTTCAACATGCTCGACCAAATTATAAAAATTGCCTTTCCAAATAAAGTATTTTATGTTTACTTTGAAGTTCCTCAATTTCTGCGGACCAAAACTGTCACTCCCCTACTGCAAATCTACTGAAATATGGAACGGGACGAAGCGGCAATGTATATTCAGTCATGAAAATTCTCGACCAACACCCGAGCTTGACTATTTTCTTACTTTTTACCTGAGCTTGACTATTTTCTTACTTTTTATTGTTACCTTGTTTGATAATCTACGGATTAACCTCTGATGCTGAACTATCTCTTGTCATATCAATTACCACAAGTATCTATTACTAGGTCATAAGGCTACTCCTGTGGTTAGGACCCATCTATAACTATTTATAAACATATTAACTTATTTAGCTTAGCATACATGATATTGAGTCCTGCACCGTGCTGCTATTCCATGCATACCTGGCAAACAAACAGGGAAAGTAAAGTGATCCCAACATGTGTCGCCAAAGGATTGGTGAAACAAAAGATAATGAATGATGTGCAATCATAATGGATATGCTATGGAAAAATGCACAGAAGATTAAACAGAGACATAAGCAATGACAAGTTTATAGTAACTCTACTTCATCTATCAATTCTCACTAAGATTTAATAAGGGATTAACCTATGTCGTAAAGATATATTATCCTAACACAATACTTCTTTTATTAAATTACGTGGAATCAGTGGTGACAATCCCAACCCTTTAATGCAGCCAATGAATAATCACTGACAGTACCGATCGGTCTATGGTTCGCAATAACAATTGGCCGGCTTAACGTATGCTCCAGGACCTTGCATTAAGGTCATTGGCCAACATCCCATATAATTTCTCCATTTACCCATATGTGAATGATGTTCTATTGGTTAGTTTGCACACGATGTTATGCATAAGCCCCTATGTTCCAAAATGTAGTAGTCACCCAACCTCTATGGATATCCCGTCACAGGACACCAAGGGGATCAGGCCTCTGCGTCCAACGTAAGGAGCCCATGTTGGGTTGTGTGGAAATCCTATGTGACAATGGTCTATCCACTAAATAGTCAGCATATGGCTAATGAAGCATCAATGCATCTTCCTTATACCCATCGGTGTCAAAACATGTAATCTTGGACCGCTACTTTAACTTTACATTTTATTCATATATGTATCAGAGCCATACCTCTAGTTTTAGATATATAGTATCATACGTGTGCAATCTTAATATTTAGTGTGGACTCATCAGATAGGAAAAATACACACACATATCATGATACATAGAATATTGTCTAATCATCATAGATACATCCTCCATAAGTTCATCTAAGAGTGTAGCATATTCTTATTAGGTAGGTCCCCACCTTTTTAACCATTTTATGTTTGTCTTGTCGTTCTTCTTTGGCCATTGAGACCTGGTTTTCTGGTGAAAGGGTGGGAGATGAAAATGATTTGCGGGAAGTGTCATCAAGTTCTATAATTCAGAAAGAAAAATCAAAAGCTCTTGTTTGCTCGAAAATATTCCTTTGATCTTCAAAGTTTAGTTGGCGTACATGTGTGTTTGGCTGATTTTTATCATTTTTTATTTCTTCCGGGGTCATCAGGAGTTATTTCATCTTATCCTTTCATTTTCTCATGACTTTCATAGGGAGATTGAGGAGTCAGATATTAAAGCTTTGGAAAGGCAGTTGATGCAATCAATAGAAACCTGTATCACAAAGAAGAAGAAAATCATCCTGTCGCAAATGGAAATGGAGAGAATTCAAGGATCAGAGGAGGTATTATTTTGATGAATGAATTGTTCAGTTACATGCTCGTAGATTGTTCTGCAATATATAACTCCCAAATTAAACAATAATGCACGTGATTGACATTTTAAGCGGTCTTTTAGTTATTCTTTTTATTACAATATATAATATCAAATAGTGGTTTAAAATGTGTATTTCAGAGGAGGAAGGTAGGCTTTCTTACAACTTGATAAATGCAACCAGTTTCTGATCATATGTTCGTCATGCTTCCTGGAGTCTTGTGACAAATTAAGCACTTGCATTTATATTTCGAGAGTAGTTACAAGTATTTATCAAATATTAATCTTGCTTTTCTTGCTCAAGTTGAAATCTTTATATAAATGTAATATTAATATAAGAACTATTGTGTAGTCTGCTGATCTTTTCTGAATATTTGGTTGTTGGTAATTTATCATCTTAGTTATTCTTTATTAAATATTTGTTTGTGTATTTCCTTTTCTACCTGTTTTTGGTAGTTCCAGCATCTATTTCAAGCTTAACCCACATTTGAGTTTGTGGACATGCACTGTTGATACTGGAATTACACTATACAATTGGCCAATTGCATAGTTTGTGATATCTATACCTGGAAGTGTTAGGGCTAATCAGTTGTTTCTGAAGTAAACTTGGTGACCTCCTTTCATACGATCATCTCACCTCATCATTACATTTTTTTTTCATTTACTTCTTCTAGTTGTTGGGTTCTCATAATCCCGTCATCCCATGCTGAACATTGTCAACTATTTTAAACAAAGTCAATATACGGCATCGTATGTCAATTATTAGTAAGTCTGAGTCTGAAACCTTACTTGTTAGTGGATAGTGGATTTTAAGCACTTATTTGAGTGTATGATTCCTACGATGGAGTGGCTGATCTTAGTTAAATTTTGACCATGTCGTGGTTTTTGTTTTCAACCATTTGTAACTCTAGAAGTTTTTACTACTATCTTTGAACGTGCAGCAAAAATGAATTCAGTATTTCAATGTTTTACTGTGTATTGTAGTGCTGTAAAAACTTAAGAGCAGCTCAGGCTGTTGCTTAAGCAGCTATATGCGCTAGTTGCAGTCTGGGCAGCAGGATCTAAAATCTGCTAGCTTAAAAACAAACCGTTAGGAAGGAAGACAAATCAAGTTACTCTGTTCTTGTATCTTGTAGATATGCTTGAAACTTAATTCTTTCTTAATCGATGGCCATAACTTGGCAAAAATGTTCTCAAATATTTCTGCTAGCTTCTTCCGTAATTATGTGGTTTGAGTTTAAGATGTTAGCGATGTGATTGCATTTGCCTTCACCAGATTTCGTAATAAAATAACCTGCAATAGCCAATGCCTTATCCTACACACTGTTTGCTAGTTAAAATTGGTATTTGCCTTGCATGTCATTCATAAAGCGCTTCATTTCTGTTACGTTAGTACGTGGCAGATATCTGCTAAGATGCTGCTGATATGACAGATATTCAAGAATGTCATAATTGTCTTTATATATTCATTCTCTTCGCTATAATGTCATTATCACAAAAAGTTCCATTTACCCATAAACAATTACTTGATTCTCCAGATTGTCACGATTCTTTTTCTTTCCCATCCATATTTTTTTGACAAGCCATCAGAAATTCATGCATAATGGACATTTTCTGTTATTTATGTATTTAGTAACTGTATACAGTGTCAATTATTCATTTTCTATACAGAGAATGCTGAGATATAATGCCATTATCACAAAAAGTTCGATTTACCCATAAACAATTACTTGATTCTCCAGATTGTCACAGTTCCTTTTCTTTCCCATCCATTTTCTGTTTATGAGCCATCAGAAATTCATGCATAATGGGCATTTTCCGTTATTTGCGTATTTAGTGACTGTATACAATATCAAGTATTCATTTGTTATACAGAGGATGCTGAGATATAATTCTGCAATTCTTGATGGTGAATCAACCGGGTTAACTAATTATTAATTGCTCCTTTTCAGAAGCTAAAGGGAAGATCTTTTCTTAAGCGTATTGTTGGTACAGTTGTTCGGTCTGTGCAAGAAGATCAAAAGGAGCAGGGTAAATATCTGTTTTATGTTCATTATATTTCTGGTCATGCTTTTTCTTTGGGAACTATGGAGTATGGACCATGAGTCAATTCACATGACTTGCATAATACTGTATAACTTTGCCTTTTTTACGTAAACATGAAATTGTGTACCATTTCATGTGAAATCCAACTTTTGTATATCTTTCTCTGAAGGTTTACAAATGTTGTTTATATATTTAAGGGATTCTGCAGTTTTGGTTTATTTTCTAGCCTATTCGGTTAAGCTGGCTATCTACAGAGTGTTAATCCTCTAATCATAGTATCTTGTGATGCACAACTCCTATTGTCCTTCTTATGGTTCTAATTTAACAGAAGGAGAATAAAATTATAAGGATTGTTTTATTTTAAGGAGTTTACTGAATTAGATGTGGATTTGGACATAGGTTTGATGGAGGGATTTGTCAAATCAGATATCAGTATATTTCTTTTGTTATAATTCTAATATTGAAAGCGAAGATCAAAGAGTTCTAGTGACCGACGGGGAAATAAAAGAGATGTGGAGTAGTTACTTTCATCAATTGCTTAATGATAGCCAAACAAGTGAGCACAATAGAGCATTTAACCTTATAATGAATGATGGGAAGCGAAGTTAAAGATGTTCTAAAGAAAATGAGAAGTGTAAGAGCCGTGGGACTGATCAGTATTTTTATTGAAGTTTGGAGATTTCTTGGAGATATAGGTTTATGATGGTTAACTAAATTATTTAATAAGATTATCGATACGAAGAGAATGTCTGATGAGTGGAGGATTAGTATTTTGATACCGATATAGAAGAATAAAGAAAATATTCAAAGTTATTCAAATTATTGTGGCATAAAACTCCTGAGTCATACTATGAAACTTTGGGAGAGGGTAATTGAGTAAAGACTAAGAACAGAGAAATGTATATTTGAAAATCAATTTGATTTTATGCCCGGGAGGTCAACTATAGAACCTAGACATATTTTGAGATGATTAAGGGAGAGATATAGAGAGAAGAGAAAAGATCTATATATGGTTTTCATTGATCTAGAAAAAATCTATGACAGAGTGCCTAGATAGATAGTGTGGTAGGTTTTAGAAACGAAACATGCATCATGTTCATATATTGATGTGATTAAAGATATGCATGATAGAGTAACAACTATAGTATAAACTATTGAAGAAGAGACTGAGTTGTTTTCTATTACCATAGGTTTATGCCAAGGGTCATAAGTCCTTATCTTTTTGCATTGGTTATGGACCAACTTATTAGGCACATTCCGGATAAAATCCCATCGTGTATGTTATTTGCAGATGATATAGTGTTAGTTGACTAAACTAGAAGAGGTATAATTTCTAAAGTGAAAAAATGGAGACAACTCTTGAATCTAAAAGTTTTAGAATTAGTAGGAAAAAATAAAATATATGAAGTGCAGTTTTAGTAAAACTAAGAAAAGAAAAGAGCCTATAGTGCATATTGATGGTCAACAAATACCTAAAAATAATTATTTTCGCTATTTATGATCAATCATTAGGCATCATTAGGCATGATGGTGAGATAAAAGATGATATTGTGTACTGAATCACATTGGGATGGTTTAAATGGAGGAGTGCCTCGGGAGTTTTATGTGATCGTAAAGTACCAATGAAATTAAATAAAAAATTTCGTAGGATAGTTGTAAGACGAACTATGCTTTTATGGGTCCGAGTGTTTGGCAACTAAAAAGCATGTGTAAAAAATTAATGTCGTAGAAATGAGAATGTTGCGATGATCTTGTGGATATACATTAAAAGATGGGATAAGGAATGAGTGCGTACATAGTAAATTAAAGGTTGCTCCTATTGAGAACAAATCGAGAGAGAATAGATTAAGATGGTTTGGTCTGTAGGCTTCTTAGTGCACCAGCTAGGAGATCTAGAGGTAGATCTAAAAGGACTTGGCTAGAAACAGTTAAGGATAAAATTATGACTAACTTAACGGAGGAGATGACCCCTAACCGAATGGAATGGAAGAATAGAATTCACGTAGTCGACCCCAAGCATTATAGGGCTAGGAGATCAGGAGGTAGAGCTAAAAGGATTTGGTTGGAAGCAGTTAAGAAGAATATGATTATGACTAACTTAACGAAGGAGATGACACATAACAGAATGGAATGAAGGAATATGATTCATGTAGCCCACCCCAAACATTTGGGATAAAGTCTTCATTGTTGCTGTTGTTGATGGTGATTCTGTCTTCAGTTTATACACGCATAAATGATTTTTATGAAATACAACATATTGCTATTGCAAAACGTTCTTATGTTTTCATTATTCACGCTGCAAATTTGCTTGCATGACATGAGACCATCCTCATTTGGGTCTTATCTGACTCTTCAAGGACAATGCTTCAGTTAATGGAGCTTGATCTCTGTTAGCTACAAACTTAATACTTGGTAAGGCTTTTTCCTATGTGTCACCATGATATCCTGCTCTGATGATAGGCATCACTCATGAAAATTTAGGTGTCTGCAATTATTTAATTTTGCATGTGCATTGTGAAGTAGAGGTAGAACTTTGTTTTCATATTATCATTGTATGAGTTCATGAGGTTTCCATTTGATATCTTTTATTTCTTGGTTCCTTATTGGTCAGATTAAAGTCCCTTTTGTAATACCTTTTCTGATCATTTGAAGATATTAAAAGCATGGAAGCAGAGGTACAAGGTCTTGAAGAGCTCTCAAAACAGTTGTTTCTTGAGATTTATGAACTTCGCCAAGCCAAGGTTTATTCCTCTTGACGCCATTTACAAGCTACTTTTCAGAAATATTTCCGTTGATATCCTACTACATATTTGTTTCCATTAAATTGTCATAATATATTTATTTACTTCTTTTTGTCTAGTCTTTAAGGATACATCAATTTGAGATGGAATTTAAAAATGCAATTACTGATGCAAGGATATAGATAGACATAGTTGGGAGTTTTCTGTGCATTGCAATCTAAGTATCTATTCTATACCATACAAATAAAGTAGCTACCGCTGGTTGCGAAAGTGCAGCACCTGGGAGATATTTAGCTATGTGACTTCTCATCTTTTCTACGGCAAATTCTCTTTTCGTTCCTAATGCAAATTTTCTTCTTCTCTACATTTTCTCCATTTGAAACTAAATCCCTCACAATTATAATTCGTTTGCCAATGTCTTTTGGATACAACTACATTGTAAGAAAAAGGTATTATAATAAACAAAAGACTTGTAATTCTCAGTTGAAAACTAGTACATGGATTCCTCCATTTTCAGTTGCACAACTGCTTTGGTCTGAATGTGTCATAATACTGGCATGTATTCAGATGTCAACAGATGAAAAAACTATGGAACTGTAACATCTAATCTTATATAGAAATCTTTGTTGCGGATGCTTTTTAGTTTTTGATCATCTTGGATGGTCTATGTAATATTTAATTTGATCACTGCATTTTCTAAAATTATTGTCTTGGATCATTCTAATAGGTAATTTTCCATAGGTGGGGATATTTGATGGATAATTAGTTTAGATGCTTTTGAAGATCTGTAATTTCTTTTTATAATTAAAATTTCAGGAAGCTGCTGCATTTTCCAGAACATGGAGGGGCCACTTGCAAAATTTGCTAGGGTATGCTTTGTCAGTCTATTGTGTGTACAAAATGATAAAGGTACATCCTATCTATTCCTGGCATTACATACATCTAGGTGTTAAGTTGCATTTAATTTTGGTTCGGAGTTCCTTGTCATAAGAAGCTTGTAGACGTATCTTTAGATTGAAAGGAGTTTCAGATATCATTTAGATGAAACTATTTTTTTAGATGTCCCTCTATCTTCTGTTAGGGTCTGCTAACGGAGTAGTTCATGCTAAAGAAAGCCCACCAAGATGTGAAATGAGTAAAAAATGATCTTTGACAAATGTATAACCTCAACTTAATAGTTAACTCATGTATTCTATCACTCCAGGTGTTAGTTTTTTTTTGAAAATCACTATATGGGAGTATCTTTTATTCAAACAGCTGAACAGCTCCAAATGCCCTTTCACCGCTTTTTAGTGAAGCTGATTTTTAAAATAGTAATTTGATTCTCTGTTTATGTTTTTTGCAGTCTTTACAGAGTGTGGTGTTCAAGGAGGTATGTTTCTGTATAGCACTCCCCTGTGAAAAATTTTCAGCTTTCTAATTTGATAATTTAAGTTGTTTTACTTACTATATTTTTGCACATCATTTATATGTGTCCTTTAAGTTTATTGATTTCAGTTTGGATGCTGCTAAAATATTATTGTCTTACTTATTCATACTTTGACAGGCTGGTTCAGTTGATCCTGTAACAATGACGATCAAACTATTTTTACAGTTCTTTGACATAGGCATTGATGCTCAACTTCTATCACAGGTTCTATCTGATCCTATCTAATTGATTGTTCTATTCTTTATATGGTGGAAATCAACTTTTCATAGAATAATCTCTTCACCTGGAAGTTATACTAATTACGACCCTAAAAGTTGTCTGGTATTTGTGCACCATACTTTTTGTCATCGAGTATCATTTGTGTAAATATGGTTAAGGCAGTAGATTGTATTGGGATAGCTTTGACGATATCATTTTCAGCTTGATTTATTATTTCATAGAGCTTTATTTCAAAGAATTATTCGACAGACTAGTCATCTTGAGAATGCAAGAACTGCTTCCTGTAATCTTTGTGCATGTGTATTTCTTATTCTTTCTAGTTTTGTGCTGAATCTCTGACATGTATTTGCTTTTGTTTGCCTTTTTTTGACAGTACATATCCCTGCTATTCATAGGAATGTTGATCGTTGTATCTGTTAGAGGCTTCCTGACGAATCTCATGAAGGTGATTCTGTATTCCTGTTTACTTTATCCTACATATTTTTCTTAGTTGCAGATATTGTTAGCATGTGTCATCATTTTGTGCGTTCTAAGTTTGACCCAAAGTCCTATACTTGAACCTCTATAAATTGAGTTCTTAACTGGATCGATGCAATCTTGAAGAGCTTGCAGAACGCAACCTTAATCAACTGAAAAATGTATGAATTTATGCTGTAAAACATGTAAAATGACTTTGATGCTCAGCTTGCAATAAATGGACTTGGGATGGAAGCATTGTTATTCTTTATAGTATACATTCTTGTTCTCCTCAGTTGTTTGCTTACCTCATTTTGCTTCATACAGTTCTTCTTTGCAGTCTCTAGAGTTGGTAGTGGGTCATCTACCAACGTCGTACTGTTCCTATCAGAGATTATGGGCATGTACTTCGTGTCATCTATTCTTTTAATAAGGAAAAGTCTAGCAACTGAATACAGGTATGCTTTTCATTGTTTCTATTTATTTCTGAAGATGTGAAGGCTTAGTTGATTCCATCTTTTATACTTTGTGAAGCTAATAAGCAGGTTCATTCACAGATTTATTGTTCATAACGTTTTCTTTTTCTGCTTTTATTCTGGTTGTGTTCTCTTCTAATCTTTTTACAAGCATGTTATGTATTCTGTCATATTTCCTGATACCTCAACACTTTTAATCTATTCTTCTTGTTAAATATTGTGATCGCTGAACTAAGTGTCAGCAGCAGTAAAAGATTTTTTGGACCATATTATAGGATACTAGGACTGTAGTAGAAAAGTTTCCTTAAAACTCTGATGAGTTTCCCACTGACTTAGGAGGCCCAAAGAGAGCACAGAACTGTCTCAAATTTGGTTCATCTTGAAAATTCTCGGATCATTATTTGTTAAGCATATTTGCTTGTCACTGTTATTCTTGTTCGTGACTTTGATCACTGAAAGTGTCAGCGACAGTAAAAGATTTTTTGGACTACATTATAGGATACTAGGACTGTCGTAGAAAAGTTTCCTTAAATTTGAGTTTCCCACTGACATAGGAGGCCCAGAGAGAGCATGAAACTGCCTCAAATTTTGTTCATATTGAAAGTTCTCGGATGAGTAATTTATTAAGCATATTTGCCACTCCAGTAATAGGCCACATGGTGAGGTGTATGTGATGGATTCTCATGCTGGTATAATATTTGATATGCTTCACCCAAAAAAGAGAGAAAATAGACACCACAGCAAACTGGAATATGCACACTTCTTAAGACTATGGCGGTACTGTTATGATTGTTTCTTTTACTTCATGAAGCATTTTTCAAGTTTCATTCAATTGAATTTGGTTGCAGGATCATCATTACAGATGTTTTAGGTGGTGACATTCAATTTGATTTCTACCACCGCTGGTTTGATGCGATATTTGTGGCTAGCGCATTCCTTTCGTTGCTATTGCTTTCGGCACAACATACTTCTCGACAAGCAGACAAACATCCTATTGATTGATGTGAATATGTACAAACCATTCTTTCTTCTCATTATTTTTTTCGCATGTATGTTTCTACTTCTCCTTCTATATTCTGTTGGACATGGGCAAAGGTGAGTGTATCTTACCACCAAAGTTTGCTTGATTCCTGAGGATATCAGTAAACATCTTTCGCATTGTCAAGGAGAAAAGGAAAGTGTAACAAGAAAGAAGAGAGCTCATGTATTTTGACGAGCGACGAGAAGATATATTACTAATCCTAGATCTTATAGTTCTTCCGCGGTTGGTGGGTGGTTATTGCTGAGTGATACGTTAGAGATGTTTTGTATTGATTATATAGATATGAGATTCCATGTAATGTTAATTGTTGATATGGCTCTTCCTTTGAATTACTTGCAGGATATTATGCATATCGAATTATATGGGAAGATTGGTATGTTATTCTTCTCTATTTTTCGTTTAATTTCTCAAGTGTATTAAGTCCTCGTCTTCTAGCAAATTAATTTATGGGTTGTTTTGTGCTTTTGCAATTTTTGAATGTGTTGGGAGTATTTAAGGTCTCCCTCAAAATAATCTTTTGCAGAATTTGACCCTTTATTTGATGTTCTATATTACTTAGGCATCCATATTTACCTACTTTTGAATTTCTAAATGTAACTTCAAATTTTGCTTTTTCTAAATTTATCCATCAAAATAATCTTGTGTGTTTTTACCATGATTTTTGTTAATTTTCATTTTTTTTACCCAATCACAATTAATTGTGGTTATTTCAAAATTTGTGACATTCATGGGCTACCAATGATTTCATGAGCTATAAATCATAAATTTTAGCTATTTTTATTCATTTTGGTCAAGTGGTAAATAATTTTTTGAATGTTCAAATTCACAATTCCATGAGCTGTAACACAAAATTTATGGTCATTTTTAGCTGTCTCAACCCATTGGCAAATAATTTTATATAATCCAAATTTTACGATTTTATGTGCCCACGATTTTTGGCTATTTTTAGTCTTTTGGATCAATTAACAAATAATTTCGTGAAATTTAGAATTCCTAATTTCATAACTCGTAACCCATGACTTTGACTATTTTTAGTATACGTACTCATTAACAAATAATTATGTACAGTTAAAATTTTATGATTTCATGAGGTATAATGTATTATTTTGGCCGTTTAAGTTATTTTGATCTATTAGCAAATAATTGTGTAGGCTAAAATTTAATATTTTATGAGCTTAACCCAAGAATGTTTGGCATTTTATTCATTTTGATTCATTGAGAAATAATTTCGTAGAGTCCTGTAGCTCACTATTTTAAGTCATTTATAATTATTTTTACCTATTGGTTTATAATTTCACAATAAAAAATTAATGATGACACAAGCAATTACCCACAATTTTTGGTAATTTTTAGTTGTTTTGACTCATTAGAAAATAATTTCCCGGAGTTCAAAAATAACGATTTCACGAGTTATTACCACGAATTTTGGTTATTTTTAGTTGTTTTCATTTAGTAACAAATAATTTCTCGGAGGCCAAACTTTACGATCTCTTAAGCTCTAACCAAAAATTTTGGTCATTTTCAGTCGTTGTGACCCATTGACAAATAGTTTCACCTAGATCAAAACTAAAGATTTCAAGAGTTATGATCCACGAATTTTGGCTATTTCTATTCATTTCAACTTATTGATAAATAATTTCACGCAGTTCAAAATTTACGAATTCATGAGATATAACCCATGATTTTGGCTATTTATAGTTATTTCGACTCATTAACAAATAATTTTGTATAGTTAATAATTTATGTTTGCATGAGCTATAACTTATTTTTTTGGCTATTTTAAATCGTTTTGACCCATTGACAAATAGTTTCGCCTAGGTCAAAATTAAAGATTTCATGAGTTAAGACCCATGAATTTTGGCTTTTTCTATTCATTCCAACCTATTGACAAATAATTTTGTGTAGTCTAAAACTCACGATTTTATGAGCTATAACACGATTTTTTATCATTTCTAGTACTTTCTATCTATTGGCAAATAATTTCGTGAAGTAAAAATTTACAATTCATAAGCTACAGCCCAAGGTTGTTGCCATTTTTATTCATTTCTATTTAACAAATAATTTTGTGGAGTTTAAAATTAGCGATTTCATAAGTTATAACTAAAGATTTTTGGTCATTTTAGTATTTTGACCCATCATCAAATAATTTCGTAGGTTATAGCTTATGAAATCGTGAATTTTGGACTATGTGAATTTTTTTTACAAATGGGTAGAAATAGCTAAAAATGATAAAAATAGTGGATTATAGCTCATGAAATCATGAATGTTGGACTCCGCAAAATTAATTTATCAATGAGTAGAAATGACTAAAAATGATAAAAAACCGTGAGCAATAGTTCATGAAATCATAAACTTTGAATTTTATGAAATTATTTGCCAACTAGTCAAAATAACCAAAAAAACCCAAAACCATGGGTTATAAATTTTGAAATCATGAATTTTGGACTTTGTAAAATTATTAGCCGATAGGTAGAAATGACTAGAAATGGTTAAAAATCGTGGGTTATAGCTCATGAAATCATGATTTTTGGACTCTGTAAAATTATTTTCTAATGGTCAGAATGGAAAAAAATGTGGGTTCTAGCTAATGAAATCATAAATTTTGGACTTTGCAAAATTGTTTGAAAATTGGTAAAACCAACTAAAAATGGTAAAAAACATGGATTAGCTCATGAAATCCTGAATATTAGACTCATTGGAATTATTTACCAATGGGTTAAAACAAATAAAAATGGCTAAAACTACTAAGTAATGGCTCATGAAATCATGAATTTTAAATTCTGCAAAATTATTATCCAATGGGTAAGAAATCATTGTTTACAGCTTATGAATTCGTGTGTTATAGCTCATGAGATATGACCCACCATTTCATGAGCTATTGCCCACAATTATTTTAGCCATTTCTTGTTGTCACTACTAATTTGCCAATGGCTAAGAATTCATGAGTCATAGGTCATGAAATCATTAAGTTTAGACTACATAAAATTATTTGTCAATAGGTTGAAACAAATTAAGATGTCCAAAATCATGAGTTAAAGCTTATATAAGCTTGAGATTTTGACTTTGTGATTTTTTTTTACCATTGGATCGAATTGATTGCAAATTGTACATTATTGCTCATAAAATCGCGAATTTTGAATTCCTCGAAATAATTTTCCAATAGGTGAAACAATAAAAATAGCCAAATTTCATGAGTTATAGCTAATGGAATCTTGAATTAAGTGACATTATTTGACAATGGCTCGGATCGACTTAAAATGAAAAAAAATTATGAGCTATAACTTATGAAATTATGAAGTTTTTGCTTCCATGAAATTATTTACTAATGAGTCGAAATGACTAAAAATTATAGGTTAAAGCTCATGAAATCATGAATTTTTTACTCTATGAAATTATTAGCCAATGGGTAAAAATGACTGAAAATGGCTAAAATTTTTAGTTATTTCACATGAAATCCTTATTTTTGGCCAAAAGTCATGGGTAATAACTCGTGAAATTGTAAATTTTGAACTTCGTGAAATTATTTGCCAATAGATTAAAATTACTAAAAAAACTTAGGATAGAGCTCATTAAATCGTGAACTTTAACCTCTGTGAAAATAGTTGTCAATAGGCAGAAATTGCTAAAATGGCTAAAAATCGTGGGTGCTCAAGATATATCATAAATTTTGGACACCGCGAAAATTATTTACCATGGGTTCAAATGACTAAAAATCGCCAAAAGTTATGGACAATTGCTCATAAAATCATAAATTTTGGACTCTTCAAAATTATTAGCTAATAGATAGAAATGACTAGAAATGACTAGAAATGTCTAGTCATGTAGTTATAGGTCATGAACATATAAATTTTGGACTATGCCAATGGGTTAGAACGATTAAAAATGGACAAAATTTGTGGGCTATAGCTTAAGAAATCGTGAATTTTAGCATCTACGAAGTTATTTGCCAATAGGTAGGAACGACTAAAAATGGTCTAAAATTGTGAAATATAGCTCATCAAATCTTAAATTTTGAACTTTACAAAATTATTTGCCAATAGATAGAAATGACTAAAAATGACCGAAAATCGTGAGTTTCTTCATGAAATCATGAATTTGAATTTTGCGAAATTATTTGCTAAGGGGTTGTAGTCTGTCTAAATATTAATACAGATAGTTGATCCCCATCAAACACCGATGATGGAAGTTACAATTTGACGGCTTTCAGAATGCTACAATTTAAAAACTTTCACGTAGATCGATGATGTTACAATCTGACGACCTTCACAATAACCGATGAAAGCCCTAATTCAATAGCCTTCACAATCAACATCGGGAGTTACAATCTGATGACTCATATTTTCAAGGAGCCAAGACGAATGTTACAAGATAACGATTTTTACAACGCTCTAGCAAAAGAGACTACTGTTATGGTAATTTACCATTTAAAGATAAAGATGTCGAAAGATTGTCTTCATAAGCCCAAAAAAGCTATGATACAAACCAACTTAGTGGCCCAGAAGCCCAGCCAAGAGCAAGTCTATTGACCCGTCAAGGAGACGAGTCATCTTTTACCGACACAAAGTGCAGGATTAGTCGACCCCTCATAAGTCGAGACGACTCCCCAAATAGTCGGCTCGACCATCTTCTCGACAGTTTACTCGACCAGAAGCTCACTCGACCGACTGGTCGACAAATCATATGGACAACTCACAAATCGACCCGTCTTTACTAAGAGGATAAAGTCCAACTAAGTCACATTCAGATATACATCAATCAACACCATAATTTATTGAGCGATCCTATCAAGATCTTAACTCTGACAAAACTCGTGCGAGAACAGCTCACTCTGCTCACAAGTCACTTCCCAGATATCACTAAGATACTCTCCTGTGCTCGAATGACCCCCCTCCAGCCACCAGCCGCCATCTAGAAAGGGAAGGAGGCCCAAACAGTCGGCATATCCTCCGTCCTGTCTCATCCATCGAATCTGTGATGTTTCCAAGGCATCCTCCTGTGCTCGAATGACTTCCTCGCCAGGTGCCAGCCGACATCTATAAAGCGAAGGATGACTCAGCAGTCTGTCAGTTCACCCCGCAACCGCCCTCCTGTGCGTAGTTAAAGCCAAAGGTCAATCTCAGAGGCGATGGACTATAAAAGGACGTAGGGAGGGAGAAAAAGAGACCATTTTTAACTCTTTTAAGACTCCTGAACTCTTTTTGGGCTAAAGCTCTAAGCAATTCTAAAAGCTATGCCTTCTTTTAAAAACTCAATACGAGTAATGAATAGCAGAACCTCAATGATCCTCGGATCTTCCCTCAAACCCCACTCAAACTCACTAGCTGACTTGACCGTCGGAGGTACTACGGGGGAACCGGTCCCCGCCCTCTTATGGGTTTCTT